CCTCCTTCTCCTCCTCCTCCTCCTCCTCCTCCTCCTCCTCCTCCTCCTCCTCCCGGGCCTGCCTCCCCGCGCGGGCACCTCCCCCCCCTCCCCGCAGCTCCCAGGGCGGGCGCCGCACCGTGGCCGCCTGCGAGGCTGGGGGACCGGGCGGCGGAGTGGCGCCGGACTCGGAAGCTGGCCTCGGGGGTGGCCGGGCCTCGGGAGCGGTGCGGCCAGCCTGGGAGGATGAGGAGGAGAAGGAGGAGGAGGAGGAGGAGGAGGAGGAGGAGGAGAGGAGGAGGAGGAGGAGAGGAGGAGTAGGAGGAGGAAGGGAGGAGGAGGAGGAGGAGGAGAAGGAGGAAGTGGAGGAGGAGGAGGAGGAGGAGGAGGAGGAGGAGGAGGAGGAGGAGGAGGAGGAAGTGAAGGAGGGCGGCGGCCCTCGGATCGGAGGCGACGAAAGGGGCGAACAGCCCAGGGGAGAGCAATGCATGTATGCAGGTGCGCCGTTGAGCTATGTCTTCGGAGAGACTTCCGGGCGAAGACGTGTAATGCCCGCCCCTGGGCTATTCGCCCCTATCGTCGCTGCCGATCGGAAGCGGTGCGGCTGGCCTGGGCAAGAGGTGGGGCGCGGCGGTGAGCGATCTGCACGGACGAGATGGGTACTCCGGATCGTTCAATAATCGCCCCCACCCCCCCCTTGGAGTGCCGGGGGGGGGTTGGCCGCGGCGCGTGTGCGGGGGTGCCAGGGGGGGTCTGGGGTTCGATCCCTTGCCCGCTGGGGCGCGGGGGTGGTGCCGGGGGGTGGCCGCGCCGCGTTTTCAGGTTTGTCCCCCCCTGGCTGATTCAGAAGAAGTTCGAGGTACGGAAAGACTGGGTGCGATGTCCAACAGCAGTTCCCGTGCATTCTGAACAGGACTCGCTGTCCGCGCCGTCACGGGCGTTGTCCATTCGAGACAGCCGCATGCCCAACAGCGGCCGCTGTTGTCAAGCAGTGGCGAAGCGTCTTGGCTCGCCTATAGGCCCACCAAAGAATGTTCTAATAACCTTTTGTGGTTTCAAAGAAATGTTCTTAGAACATTTCTGGCTGGGATTGTATTGTTTTAACACATCGGGTTTATGTTCTAAGAAAGCTGTTTTGGTTATTAGAACATGTTTAACATTTTTTGGTTCTAAGAACGTGTCGTGGTAGGCCTATAGGAATGCCGGGACGGTCGGTCCCTGCTCAAACTGTGCCCAACCAGCAGTTCCCGTTCATTTTGAACAGGACTCGCTGTCCGCGCCGCCACGGTCGCTCGGGCGCCCTGAAGTGAGGGGTCGAAGTGTCGACTACACGTAGGAATGGCCCTTCGCCGGAGCGACCTTCGGTGCGGGCTCCTCGGGGCCCCTCTCGGCCTCCCAGATGGGGTCTGGAGCACGTGGGGTCGGAGGATCGTGCCACGTTTTTCGATGCATCGGCGATGCATCGGCGGTGCGGCTCGATGTGGGGCCCGATTTTCTCCACGCCGACGTCGCCGATAAGTCGCCGACGTCGCCGATGCAGCGCCGATGCATCGGCGATGTATCGGCCAATCTTCGAGATCTTCCGACTCCATCTACTCGGACCCCATCTAGGAGGCTTCTAGTCCCCCGCCATGCGATACTGTATAGTATATCGTGGCTGCTTGCGCGCTTGGATTTGGCAACCCTGCGCCCCCCCTGGTCCGCGCACGGAAGGTCCCTCGTACCTTCGGGGTCACTCTCTCGTGTCGGGCACGCCCGTGCTGACAGGCAGCGCGTGCCGTGCTCAAGACGCGCGTGCTCACACGCCGCGCGTTGGCTCGGCACATGTGGGCCCACGTGTGGGCGAACGTATCGCGTCCGACCTGCGTCTTCGGCCTACGCGTTGGGCGCCGTGCCACCACGCCATGCGTTGCGCGGGCAGCCCTCTCAGAGGGCGGCGGGGCTCCTCAGAAGCCCCCGGGCCTTCTGGGAAGTGTGCTGTGTCTTCGGGGAGCTGCCTCCCTAATTAAAGCTGTGCGTAGCCCGCCTAGCTTTTAGCGGAAGAGGTTCGCTCTCGCCCCGCCGACCAACAAATTCGGCATCTTCGGGGAAGGCTCCGGAAACGTCTCAGGATGCTCGAGGACTTCTGGGCCTTTTAAGAAGGCCCGTCCTTTCTCATTTCCCCCCCTGGGCTCGCCGCTGAGGGTCGCAGAAGGCAATACAAATAACCGCAAGAGGTCATTCATGATGCCCCCCCCCGCAGATCTAGGTTCGCAATGAAACTCGTCTTTTCCCTCGTCGCCCTTCCCCTCATCATCCTCATCACCACCCGGGGTCCTCATCTTGAATCTTCAGCGGTGGCCGCCGCGGGGGAATGATTAATTTGTTCCAATCTTGTTTGGGTCCCCATCCGTCAATATGCCCGAGGGAGAATAATAAGTTTCCCATTATCGGGGGGTTATTAAAGACGTAACTCGATTATGCACCGTACCTCGTTGGTGTCTCCAAGGGCGGGCTCTTGGAAATGGCAAGGCGTTTTTGTTGGCCTGTTTCAGGAGATCTGACCAGGTGAATCAACACGGTAAAACAGACACGGTTCACCGACAAAAACGGTAAATATCAAATCGGGTAACCGAAACGGGAAAATGGGAAGCTCCAGGATTGAAATGGAGCCAGAAGCGGACAAACAGCTGCGATGAACCGCAAGTACTTCGGCGCCAGACACGGAGAACAGAATGCTGAACGACAGCCGGTGTGTCGCGCTCCCTTCTGATGCCCGACGGTACACCCCCGAGGTGGGTGCCATAGGATCCCTGCCCATCGAGGACTCCTCGGCGTACCCTCCGCGAGAGCCCTCTTCTCCGCCGTCGCAGGCTCATCATGACCTGAGGCCGCAGCTGACTCCTGCCAGTTCCCCATGCCGTCGCCTCGTTCTCACGGCTCCGGGGCCGGGACTCGGCCTCCTGCGCCGGCTCTCACGACTCCGCCGCGCTCCTCCTGCGCCGTCTGGACCTCTGCGGGCTCCCGGCGCCGGCGATCGCGAGCGGGAGCCGGCTACCTTCGGTATCGTTGAACCGATCCCCATCCCCATCCCCATCCCCTTCGAGACCCCCGCCAAATTTCCACCCCAGTTGGGGATACACCCCTCGAAACTCGAAGGGAACGGCCTGTGTCCCCATCTAGGGGGGTAGCTCGGCCAGTGGGGCCCAGGTCTCGCCGCTGAGCATGGGGATCGGCTAAACGAAACTCACACCTCTGAGCGTGACCCTTCGCCAGAGGGACCCCCCCGGTGCACGGCCACCCGGGGGGCGCGAGGCAGGGGCGGCAGAGGCCGCGAGCGCGCAGGCTGCTGCTGCAGCCTCGCGCGCAGCGATCGGCAGGCCGCGCACCGGAGGCCGCTCTTGCCTGCTGTAGGGCCACTCTTGCGAGTAGCCGACTCCTCTCCTCCTCCTTTTGCATCCTCCTCGATCTTCCTCCCTCCTCCCTCCTCCTCCCTCCTCCTCCTCCTCCTCCTCCTCCTCCTCGCTCGGCATCCTCCCCCCTCCTTCTCGTCGGCCCTCACCCTCCTCCTCCTCCTCCTCCTCCTCCTCCTCCTCCTTCTCCTCGTTTCGACCCCAGGGGCCCATGCATCCGATGCCTTGTGTTTATTTTCCATGCGGGGTCCCCAGACCTTCCCGACCCCTGCCCAGATCACTGGATACAGATTTTTGCTCGGTCGCGATCGGTAGCGACGGACCGGCACTCCAAACCGGTTGCGACCGATCTTGACACAAATCTGTCGCACCGATACCGAAATTTGAAGCAAAGTCGGTGGCGACCGATCTCGTCGGTCGCGACCAGAGAATTCCAGTATCAGGGCTGGGGTCCCCAGAAGTCCTGACACTTCCCCTGGGAGCGATTTTTTATCCCCGATCGTTATCCGGCACACCCAAACATACGAATGCCAAACATACTAGAACTAGTTATGGGACTCGTTTTCTTCTTCATTGGTTTTACCGATCTGCGCGGGCCCTCGCACCCTCTCCCAGCCCCCCTCGGAGTAGATCTGGGCTTTCTTTGGCGCTCGCTTCCAGCAGGCGGGGTCTCCTCCATGGGCCGCACTGCTGCAAGCAGTCGCAGTAAGCAGAGCTCCGGAGCCAGCCCCCCCCCTCCACCCCTTTCCGCCCAATGCCGACCTCCCGAGGAAGAGCAGGCCCACAGTGTCTGCATCGCCTGCGGAGGGGGCGACGCGAGCGCTCTGACGTTGGGTGGCATCCGCTCCATGGCGGGCGCTTCCTGGCAAGTGCCGCTCGGGACACGACCCGCTACAGGATGGCTGTGCTATACGTTCGGGTCGGACGCGCGCCTCCGAGGAGGACACATCGTATCGCGGGCTCGGAAGCCTTCCTCCTCCCGACGGCACGCCGGGGCCCCAACCACACCCGAAGGACGGAGGGGGACTTCCGCTCCGAGCCCCAGCCGCATCAGCGGGCGCGCGGTCCAAACGCCCGCCCCCATGAAATTCTGAGCAGGCTTCGGCCATTGGGGGCGCACTGGGGTGATCCGCTTGTTTAATCCGTAAGGGCTTCGCCCCCTGCCGCCGGCCCCCTCTCTCGGAGAATGGGCCATGGAAGAGCTAAGTCATGAGGCCTTGGCGCTGTCGCGAAGCAGTATCGAAACTTCATGCGAAGCCGATTCGCAATCAGCAAAACCAACTGATCACAAGAGGGGTTACCACACCTGGCGATTGGTAAGACGTGTATGGTTTACGGGCTTGGTTACCACACCTTGCGATTAAAGGGCCGAGGGAGTTCTCGCAGTTTGGGTTACCACGCCTTGCGATGGATGTGCGTGAAGGGTGGCACCGAATTTCAGAAATGTGGCAAATCCCCTGTGTTTTTGGACCCTGACCCCGCGGATCTGCGTAAGGGGTGGCGCCGAATTTCAGAAATGTGGCAAATCCCCTGTGTTTTTGGACCCTGACCCCGCGGATCTGCGTGAGGGGTGGCACCGAATTTCAGAAATGTGGCAAATCCCCTGTGTTTTTGGACCCTGACCCCGCGGATCTGCGTGAGGGGTGGCACCGAATTTCAGAAATGTGGCAAATCCCATGTGTTTTTGGACCCTGACCCCGCGGATCTGCGTGAGGGGTGGCACCGAATTTCAGAAATGTGGCAAATCCCATGTGTTTTTGGACCCTGACCCCGCGGATCTGCGTGAG